GTTATCAGCGAATTTGTTAACCATCGTTTTTCGAATCCGCTATTTTTCACCGTTTTAATTTTTATTCTCCAAAGGTGTCCGTTCCTTTTCTGTTCTTTTCTGTTCAAGGGCGGTGTTCCGTCAAACGATGCGCCCCGCGAAGAAAAGCTAATAAAATTCCATCGAGACGCGCCGACAGAGGAAACGCGTTTATCGCGAGATGTCGCCCGCCCTCCGCATCTGATCGATGCCAACACTCGAGAAATTTTCCCACCTTCGACTTCCTATCTCCCGTCTCACGGATTATCCCTTTGTGACGAATGTGATGAAATTACTGCGAACGGGCTACTTTTAAAATTTCTTCTTTCCATTCTTCTATTTTCTTTCTTTCTACCAACGTTTTTAAAAATTCAAGTTAAAACGCGTGGAAAATAGAATATTTTCTACAATTTTTCAGTATCTTTCTATCAATTTTTCAAAATGATTCGATTCAAATTTCTTGATCCAAATAATTTTGTGTAAGCCTGAAATTAAAAATTATTTAGGATTAGTATTATAGAATTAATATTTTTCATTTTGTTTTTGTATACAATCAAACGACATCACGATATCCTGTTACAAATTTGTGGAATGAATCGTTAAAATAGTACAAGTTGCGCGGATTATCAATGCTATAATCAAATTAAACGGCGCGTATAACGTTATTAGTGGGAGAGATATTCACTGCATTTTTCCTGCCACCCCATAATTCCCGGAAACGAATGCGAGTTATGCCCGGTTTTCCACACCAGGAGGATACAAAAGTATCCTCGGTCATCACCGTGAAAATTTCGCAATTATTCTCTCCGATCCACGTCACGTTAATTACAATCGAATTATCCGTAGGATCTCCGCGCGTGCAGCCGCAAAATTCTTCTAATGAAAACACCTCTAATGAACACTTCTAATGATGTTTATTACGAACACCGTGTATACCGTTTAATATCGATTGCTCGTAAGTACAAGCGATTATTTCTTATAAGCTCCTTTTAAACAGACAGAGAGGTTTTAATATCGTTGTAAAAAAAAAAAAAATACATTTCACAATGAGTGTATTTATTATAAATTTATAATTTATTATAATTTTCCAACGGATTCTTCGAAATGGAACGAATCCATCGAGGACTTTTTTTTTATCATTTTTCGATGGACGATAATATATATATATATATATATATACGACCACCAGCAGTGGAGAAACAACCCCGTATAATTCCCAACTCCCTAATTTACATGGCAATGATTCCATTCGTCGGAGGAAGCGGTTTCGAGCACGATCTATCAATTACTGGTATCGTGCTTGGGAACACGAGGAATCGATAACGTTCGATCATCGTACGCGTAATAGGTATGAGAAAACCTGGCTCGTTGAATTTTCATTTCACATTCAATTTCCAACCCCCCATTAAATTAATAGCCCTTGATATATGGACGATGGACGAATGAACGGGCGGGGATACATTTTATTAAAACAAATCGTAGAAACAATCGGAGGAAAATCCTTCGCATTACTTGTGCCTGTAATGAAATTTCATCGTGTTATCGGGATATGTGGATGAGAGTAACTCTACCTGTTCTCTAGTGTTTAAAATTAGAAAAAAAAGAAAAAAGAAAGAAAAGGATGGATTATTAATTTTTCGAGATGAATCTGTACTTTTCTCTTTCTCTTCGAGTCGAGAAGTTCGTTAAATGTAAACATTTCCTTCGAGTTTCTTTCATTTTATTTTCAATTATTTTCTTGTTATTGTATTGAACATTGGATTTTTATCGTGAAAATAATTAAAGGATTAAAAGGATCTTAAGAAGAGATTCTGAAAGAAAACGAGGCTTCGAATTTTTTTTTTTTCACGAAGTTATAATAGTTTAAATATCGATAATTCTTCAGCAAGAATTCAAATAATTCGATAACTTACGTGCGTGAAGTTTTCCTTCTTCATTTTTATCCTTCCAAAGCTTCAAAGTTTAAGTTTTTCGAAATATTTTAACTGGTAGATTTAATCAAACAGAAATTTAATCCCAAGGATTATATTTTTCACTTGTTAATGAGAAAATGGAATTGAAGAAACGAGGGGAAAAATAGTTGAAAGAGCTTCGATTGTATTCACACACAATTTTGAAAAGATGGATATTTCCATTTGTTACCATCACTATAAGTCTGTGTTTCGAGGAAATCCATCGTAAATTCTGTTATGAAATAAACAACTTATGGCAAAACTTTGCCAACAACTCTTCGAAATGCACTTTACACTTTGGCCAAAAGTCGAAATTCTTTGCGGAATGCGTGGATATTTAAACTCTGCCTTCGACTCCGGTTTAAAGGCGTTACTTTTTCGCCACCCTCCCCCTACTAACATTGGAAAATATTTGCCTTGCTTATTCAACTTTTTCTCTCCATTGTCGACTCTCTCTCTCTCTCGCTCATCACCGCCCATTCTCGAAAATTTCTCCACTTAAACGCCCCCCATCCTCCCCTCGTCTCGCCTTCCCTCCTCTAATCTTATCAGGCAACTGACTTCTCCCGTTAATCGCGCATCTTTTAGCAACCCCCCTCCTCCCGTTCCGCGAAATGCAAACACGTCAGACGCTTTTCTTCGACCTCTACGAGCCACCATTTCCTCTGCGAGGAAAAAGAAGAAGAGGAAGAAGAAGAAGGAGAAGGAGAAGAAAAAGGGGGGAGAGGAGGGAAACGTGTACGCCGCCGTGTGCGCATTCCTCTTTGATCGTTGACTGAATCTTGTAACAGGAAGGAGGTCGAAAAATTCTCCACGTTTCGCGAATAATTCAAGAGACACGTTTGGATAAAGTCAGATTTAAAAAGATAAACCCACCAGGGAATATTGGTGACTTATACGCGCTTCGTGAAATTTTCGCCGTGTTGTCCATCAGGGCCGGCTCAAGAATTCCTTTTCATCTCTCTTTTTCTCTTTTTTTCCTTCCAACATTCTTTTATGTAAATTATAATTTACAAAATATCTGATAAATCTCCTCTTTCTTTTTTTCTTAAATATCAACATCTTCATTCTTATATATATATATTTTCCAGACACTTTTATCGAAATACAAACGCTTTAAAATAATTGCATTTACGTTCGAGTTGCGGTGCAAGAGTTCTATATTTGCCCGAATTTCGTTAAGAAGGTGTCGTCATCGATCACCGATATTCTCTTGTCAGTGGGAGGGGAAATATTCTTTGAAAATATTCAAATGTCGCGAAGCCACGGTATTCGAGAGTGTCAGTGGCCTTAACGGAACAAGCCTCGTTCGATCGGGTCTTTTCTCAGAATTTGTAACACGTACTGCAAACCGTCCATCGCCGCTGCGAATATAACATCTGATAACCGCTTCAACGATACGACGTTAAAAATTTTCATCGCCGTAATAAAAATTATGATCGATCGTTGCTTGCACTTTTTGTTTCTTTTTTTTTAAATAACCACGATACATATATATATAATAAATCAAAGAATAAATATAAAACATACCGTACAGGGTGATTAAGACATTATTTCTTTCTTACAAATCAAATCTCTTACGAGATAAAAAAAAAAAAAAAAAAAAAAAAAAAAAACTGATAAATATCACTCAAGACCGAAGGAGTAAAAGTTTAAAAGTCGCGCGAGTTACACTTTATGTACACACACACACACACAGGAGATATAGCGAGGTCGTAAAATCGGTCGAATGTAAAGTAAATGAAATATTACACGTAGTAAAAAGTAAACGTTTTGGCATTGCATATCTATGGCCGGATAAGAACGTATCTTAAACTTATCTTGAACTTGGAAGAATGCAAATTCACACCGAATGCCGATTTATTATATACAGATTATGCACGCCGTGTTTGTCTAATCTAAGAGAGGAAGAAAGAGGGAGAAACGCCTACGTGTAACAAGCTACGTGTAAAACGTTGAAAATGTCCCTAATTTCTTTTTCCTTTGCACGGCCAGTGACCGTGTAATCTCAACGAGTGCCCTCTGCCTCGACGGCGAATCAAGACAAAGCCGAAAACTAATTCATCAGATCGGAGAATTGGGGTGCGAATGAGAGGGGAGAGGCGTTTAATCTCTGCTAAGCTGACTAAGCTTCGATTCGAAACGGTGTTCTCTCCTCGCTGTTTTCACATTCGAATCTCTGCAACCTGTGGCGGGATGGAAGTTTGCTAAATATTTTCCCCGAGAAGTGTTTAAGTGGGAGGACAGGTCGCGCTGGGGAAAGGTCAGCGAGATTAATGAAGGCTAGGAGCAAAATGGTGGATGCAAAACGGGCGGGCGGGGGCGTTTTCAACCTCCTCGTTACAGGATTTCGCAATTATCCTGGTGGCGGGTCCGTCGAAAATGCGCGAAGAATTATAATCCCCTCTTCTCTTCCCCCCTGAAAAGGGAGGGAGTAACGCATCCAACGTGAGAATCCTCGTTTTGAAGAGAAATTTTCGTTGGAACGAAAATTTTGTATTTTGAATGGAAGAGGAGGATGATGATCGTGGTTTTTTTTTTTTTTAACATTTTCTCGGCGATTTCGATCGGCTCGTTCGTTTTCATCCGATGACCTGATTCCTCGATATTTTGGAAAAAAATTATTATTTTACATTTTGGAGAATGATCGAGTACTTTTTCGCCCAGGGGGTTGTTATTTCAAGGTTCGTGATGTATTGAAGAGTAAGAGGCCTGGAATCGATATATGCTATCAGTATGTGTCATAATATCGGGCTGTGTCGGTCTCACCTATGTAATACCGAAAGTATCGGAATTATTCGAATCGATATCGAACCATATATTCGGTAAATGTAAAGAGTTAAAGGGAAAAACGAGAAGAAAAAGATTACGGATATTATATTTATCAAGGTGGTGAGAAACAATGGAAAAATAGGATGAAATATCACTTTGACTCGAAACGATGTAATAATAATCATATATGGTTCGATTTTTTTTCTGTAGAAAATCATATATTCGAGAAGCAACACGATGCATTTGACAAATACTTACGTTGTAAAATGTTATTACAAATATCCCGCTCTAGAGTTGTTTTTCAACTTTATAACTTATCTCCTTTCTTTTTCCTTTGGTCACGATACAATAACTTTTTCTAGCTATACTCTCGTCCAATCATTCGCTGTTATTACAAAGAAAGAAAAAGAATCTTAAATACTATTTATAGTTAATAACTCGGTCGATAAATATATGGACAGATCCTGACCGATCGATAAAGAAGAAAGATTACCTTTGGCCAAAGTCTCGTCGGCGTTATGGCGGTGAGTTCCGGAGCAGAACCGATGCATCCTGCGCGAACGAAAAAGGAGAATGACGCGTCGTCTTCTTGCTCTGGTCGAGAGTAAATTTCGTCTTTTTGTTTCATTTTTGCGCGATGAAAAGCCGATAGAGCTATATAGTCGGTGGAGATGCGTGGAACGCGAAGAATGGTGCTCCTTAATAGTAGTTTCTTTTTTTTTCTTTTTCCTTTTCGTTCGAGGAAAAGACGAATGGATCTAGATAAAGGGAATAACAAAGAAAGAAAAAACAAGAAAGAAAAGGAAAAAAACGGAAATGTAAGAAAGGAAGTGATCGTGCATTTTCTATTGCTTAAGATTCTTCGAATGTAAGTCGTGTTCACCGCGAATTTTTCCAATATATTATTCTCGTCGTGTACGTCTTCCCTAAGGATTCTCTTTCCGCAATTCATCGATGAGCGAATTATTCGCGTTAAATTTGGGGAAAATGAAAGGCGTGCGATCAATTGTACGAAGAATATATCGTCGAATAATCTGTGAATTTTTTTTATTATGAAACAGGCAAAAATTAAATACGATCTTTAAATACGAATATATGGTAATAGAAAGGCATTGCAAAATTAATGAATTAATCATTTTCAGCATACGTGTTCAGCGGAATGTAAACAACTTTGTGAAATACGTTGGTTGCATGTATCCACAGTTAATTATTCACGTTTGATTAATCAAATTGTTATTTGAATTCAACAAACAGTTAATGAAACGCGTTAAAGTTTTACTTATAATTAATCAAATTATTAATTTAGTAGCAGTTTCGATACACGTTTAATCCATTTCGAAACAAGTGAAAGGAACTTACTTGCCACTTACAGTTCGTAAGAAGTAATGATCAATGGTGTAGTAGAGTTGAGTTCATTACCATTAATGTAAAGTGCTTCGTGTCAATCATGTTTCGAGCCAAACGTAAAACTCTCGAAAGATATTTCATTCTGTAATGATATATTTTCACAAAAAGAATAAAAGATAACAAAATTATCGTTATTCCATTTTTTCAACCAATAAATCAGTAAACCAAATGCCTTACGCTCTTTTTGCAAGATCATTGCTATAATCCAAGTATATATTCATACCAAATATACGAAAGAATTCTTAAAGATCAAAGAGAATTCCAATAAAATTAATATATTTTTGAATTATTTTGATCGTATCGCAATATAATTGGTCAAACGATTCTCGACTCTTGACACGAAATTTTACAAATAAACAAAATTACAATTGGCAAACAAAATTATTCTGATAATAATAAAAATATAATATGATAAAAACTCTTCCTATTTCCTTCTCCTTTTTCGAATCTTGAATAATCTCGACTAATCCTTCCTTTAATAAGATATACTTTAAAATTACACTTAAACGTTTATTCAAAGAAAAAAAAAAAAAAAAACGAGAACGCTCATTATCTAATATCCACTTATCCTCCTTTAAGAAGCCATCCGCAACATTGCATTACTTCACGAAACACCACGAGCCATACCTCTTGCCGATCCGAAAATCCAAAAGCAATGCACGAAATACACGTAGGAAATACCGTATCGTGGAAACCTTAAATTCTCGGAGAAACATTACAATAAAATTCTTAATCACTCACGTAAGCAATATCAAAATACGTAAACTTGGAATCCTTAAAAATCTAGAAAATCCAATCTTCCTTCAACGGACAGACAAAAAAAAAAGAATAAGAAAAAAGAAAGAAAGGAACAAAGAACACAACAGAAGAAGAAGAAGAAGAAGAAGAAGAGCGTACGAAGAAACGGAGAGAAACGAAGAACGGAGAGAGAGGGGTCAAGAAGATGAAGCGTGTTAAAGAAGAAGAGAGAAGAGAAACGGACGAACGCAAAAAACGCAAACGAAAAAGGGGGAGGGGGGAGGTGGAAGGGAAAGGATGCATCGAGGGGCTTCCGTGCCAAAAGTCGTCCATTTTTACGAGCCTTGATCGATGCTTCTTCCTCGAGGAAAGATGAAAACGGGAAACGAAGCGTGTGCGGTGCTGTTCGACGTCGAGGATCATTTATTCTAAAGACGGACGGAGATTCTCTCGGCTTCGTGCTAAAAGTCTCTGTATTACGGCCGGATTTTCTCTCTCTCTCTCTCTCTCTTTCTCTCATCCCTTCAGTTCGAATCTCTCTACTTATCGATGCGAGTAGCGGCAGATTTTCCCCGGATTTCAGCGGCCTCGGTTCCGTTCCATGTGTAAACTCTGATACGGCCTCTGACCAGCTGCATCCCTCTAAACGCCGTGCGTTTCTTTTCTTTTCTTAAAAAAAAAAAAAAAAAAAAACACACTCCGCCCGATTATCATGCAACAACAAGATCCTCCTCGATCTGTCAAATGGATACTCATCTGTTGGATGCTGGTAGCCTCTAATTATGCTGGTGGCCTTCTCCTCCTTCTCCTCCTCTTCCTCTTCCTCCTCCTCCTCCTCCTCCTTCTTCCCCATCACGTCCTATGGTGTAATTCTCGAGGTGAATTCACACACGAGGCGGATTCTCACACAACACTTGTACGATATTAAGGGCAACAACGCAACGGGTTCGAGAACTCGCACTGCAACCGGTGGAGCGACGTCCGCGGATGACCGGAGGAGGTCGACTGTGGTGAAACTCGCAGCGTTCACCGCGCACTGCCCGCTTTTAAATTCGCGTGGTGAGCAGCTGGCGATCCGCGCAGACGCTTGGCGAACAACGTCCGCAATATCGCAGGGACGGAGATGATGATGGTGGTGGTGGTGGTGGTGGTGGTGGAGGCGGCGATGTCGGCGGCGGTAGATTAACCGAAAGGTGGGAGGAAACGGAGGGCGCGCGGACGTTGACTGGTTATGCGCCGGAAATTCGCTAAACTCGTTGCATAGTGGATGCGCGGCGGATTTCTTGGAATCGGCCACGTGTCGTGGCGATACGCGCCGTTGCTTCCACCAATCGAGATCGGGGGAGCGGCTTGTGTATCGATAGATCGTCGTTTGTTGTTGTTGTTGTTGATTCCTTCGTGGCGAGGGATTTGTCTCGAAAGGAAAGTATCTCGAAGAAGAGGGGAGAGAGATTTCATTTTTCTAGTATGGAGTATGGGAGTGTTTTTCTCTTATGCACGGGTTTCTTTTTTGGTATAATTTATTCGCGTATGAAATGATTTAAGGAGTTCAAAGGTTGAAAGTGAAAATAATCATGAAAAATAAACGAAAGAATTATTAATAATAAATAATTCGTTGAATCGGATCGTACGATTCGTTGAATATGCAATAATAATAATAATAATAATAATAATAATATGATTTAGAAATGTATAATATAAATATTATTTTTGGGTATGAATGTAATTTTTTTTTCATTATTGTATAAAAAATTAAATTTCACAAAATGTGAACGCACAATATATTTATGCGGCAAGCCATCAATTTTGTTTCTTGTAACGAATAACATGCTTTGTCATGGGAAATAATGTATTTCACCGTTTTGCCAGGAAACAAGATTACATTTGGACATTTTCGGCAATGTATGTATTACGACCAGATCAGAACTAAATTCTGATTATATCATATTTCATAGACAAATATACAAATGTGATTCTTTTTCATCGTTATAAACGAAATACGGTACTGTACATGATAGGTCACTCAAAGTAAAATTTCAGTAAATGGTCGAAATATACTTCTCTTCGTAGGCAACATTCCAAATGTATTCATTTTTATCTCTATAAGTGAAATATATTACTTTTGGTTGGAAATCAGTACGATATATCAATTTCCATGGCAAAGAATGATATGAATATGTTTCATTTTATGTTAAATCGTATAAATGTGTTTTCTTTTTATGGAAAAAAACGAAATCTGAAATCTGAAATTTTCAATCATCGATTAATAATGATATATTGATAATAATATCAATATTGAAATATTGTTAAAGCGAATAAGGTTAGGTAGAAATGTATTTGTATATATATTGCATTAATTGTAATAAAATTATTCAAAATTTTTATTAATATTATTTGTATATTTTTCCAATTTTATTTTCTTGAAAGAATCTGAAAGTATTTGTGAAAATAATTTTTCATTTGTTCTATTTCTAATATATACATATTTTATTATATATACATATATAATTTTCAATATCGAAATTTTTTTAAGATAAAAAATATACTAATTTATATATATATATATATATAATTTAAATAAGAATTCATTTATTAATTTGAATAATTTTATTATAATTAATATATTATTACTTTTGTTTTTATGCGTTTTAACGACATTTTAATATTATAAAATATTATCGATATATCGAATATCGATATTCTATTCTATTATTATTAATATTCATCGTTATCGACTTTACCGACAGTCACACCTCTAAATTCAAGAGAAATGTATCGAATATTCGAAATATATTGAATATCGATATTATTCTCATATTATTAATATTTATCGATAATTTTATCGATAGCGATATTTCTAAATTCGTGAATTTCTAGTGGAATATTATTGCAATTCCGCGATCGATTATCGATTCAGACAAATCGATTCAGACAGTCGAAACGACGGAACGTGATTCCGCCATTAACGTGACTCGACTCGTCTCGTCTCGTGATATTCTTTGCGAAACTTTGTGACGTGAAACGTGGTGAAAAACGCAGAAATTCTTCTCTTTTTTTATCGAATTTAAAGCTCAAATTGTTTTTTAACTATTTGTTTGAAAAGTGCAGACGTTCGACGTTTTCGGTATAACTTTTATTCGGAAAACAATAAAGTTTGAAGTTGTGGTGTACTTGAGTAAATTCCAATAATTAGGGGACTGATTCTTAAACTTTGCCAATTTATCACGATGGGAATTCTTCCTGTGAATGGTGAAACTTTGGACTGATATTTTTACCTATATTCAAGCATCGCAATATCCAGTGCCCTTTCAATGCATCGATTGCCGTGAAAAGTTAGAAAAATGAATAACCATTTAAAAGAAATCATCGAAAAAGGTTAGTTTTATTATTATATAAAAGTAATGTCGAAATTTTTCGTAAGAAACTGAATTATTTATTCTCAAATATCGATATTTCGATAATTTCTCGTGTGGTATAATGCAGAACGTTTAGAATAGAAATTGTTAGGTTAGAAATATGATCGTCGACGATCTCGATAGATATGCTATGATACATATCATGAATAAAATTAAAATTTCCATTCTTTTTTAAAATATTTTTGTACGATTCTGTCATTCACACTGTCATCATTGAACATATCACAAATTTTGTTTCCTATAAACTACATCGCAGTTTTTCAATTGCCATAGGACACAACCAGATGGCAGTGATAAGCAGAAACCTTTATTTTCTTTGTTCCTGTCAGTTTATTTTATTCTTTGTAGTTCACGGTAAAAAGTACGAAATATATAAAGAGTGTTAATAACGAGTACGTGTATCTCAGCAATTATTTTAATTACAATAAACGTTCATTACATACAAGTAAAAGAATAATAATTATAATTTATATCTCTCATCTCCTCTTTATTCTACACATTTAGCATAATTTTACTATTTTTAAAGCATAATTGCACATCTTCTCTTTATTCATTTTCAACTTAAAATAAATGATGAAAAAAAATTGAATCAAATAATAACCAAATATTTTTTTTAATATTAAAATATCGTACGTTTAAACGTATGTTTTATAGGTTAGAAAGTTTTTTTTAACGGAAACAGTTTCTTACAAAAAAAAATCCGACATTGCTTAATAGCTAACCTTTATTTTTTGGTTATTTTATATTCAATAAAGAAAATTGAACAAGTTTTGTTGACTTCGGGAATTGAATAAAATTTTATACGAGTTTCGTGACTACGATATTTCACCGACCGCCAAACCATTTTATAACCAACAAATTATCCTTGTGTTTGAGTTAAACAAACTTCTTCAATGCGCCAAGGCTCTTGCAAACACTTGCGACTGAAAATCGGTTGCTTGCAGTGAGTAAATTTATGCAACCATGCGAATTTCTAGACCAGTGGTTCTTAACCTTTGCGAAATCACGAGATTGTTTTTTAATTATAAAAAAAAATATATATATACGGTATTAACTAAAATCATAAGATTGAATGAAAATAAATGAATATAAAGTAAATGATTCATTTATTTAAATTATGATTTGGAATAATTTGAAGATATTAATAAAAATACAGAAAAATATAGTAATAATTTTATTATTTTATATTCCTTTTCTAATTTTTGAAAAAATTATTGTTATTCTGGATCTGTTTGATTAAAAATTATACGTTTTACGTAATACTAAGAAAAGAAAAAATTATACTTTCATAATTTTAGAGAATAATGTTAATGTTTCGAATACATAAGTTATCAACCACTGGTCTAACGTTTCGGACATGGTATCATGCGAATATAACGGGTACAATCCGAACATCATTAACCACTGTAATTGGTGTCTATGATGCCTTGTTACACGTGAATGGAAATTCTGAATGATTACGTACGTACAATTAAGGAATAGAATTATTGAGCATTCAATTCAACGATTTTACAAATAAATCCAATATTATCCTTCGAACAAGAAGACCTCCTCTTGATTTTTTCTTTATAGAAAATCAATCTCGAAAATGAACTCTTTTCCATATTTTGATTACGATCGTATTCTTGCAAAATCTCTACAAAACTGAAAACTTTTTTTTATTACTTTTAATAACGCAATTTATTATTTAAACACGCGTAAGAGGATACTCTTATCCGAGTTATAAATTAATTTCGACGAAAACCTCGACCTCGATTCTTTTTTTTAGAAAGAAGAAACTATCGTTCGAAACGAAACGATAATTAAAAATGCAAATCGAACAATTTTTCTTCCGCGTCTCTAACGCGTTACCAGTATCGCAAACGGACAAATGCGGCCAACTTCGTGGTCATTCGTGCTCGTAATTAAAAAACGTGGAGCGATTTAACAAGCACACGTTGCCGATTCTCGCTCACTCGTCCACGTCCTCCTTCTCCTACAATGGAATTCGTTTTCTCGATTAACGATATTAAATCCCTTGCTCGGGGCGTTGGATATTCTAATTAAGGGGTTGGGCGAGGTCGGCGGGGCCATCGTTGAAATTAGCACCGGGGACAAAAGCGGAGATAAAATAGTTGTACGTGCGTCAACAACTCTGCCCTATCTTTCCTCTACGTGCATCACGCGCGCCGGAGAGTGGAAGACTTGGAGAGCGTAAATAAATCGCGCCTCCGGCGGATTTGTAGCGGATTCCAGACCGCCTCTCGCCGTTTGTCAAGACTCCTGTTGTGATTCACCAACTTTCATTCCACGCGTTGTGGAACGCAGCGGAGAACAGTCGATTCCCTTAATGGTGGCTGACGCCTCGAGCACGATGCTCCTATGTATCTCGTCCAGTTGCTCGTAATTTTCCCGCGGGAGGGAAAATAATATCGGGAGCTCGAGAGAGAAAGAGATAGAAAACAGATTCGAAGGCTAGAGAGAGAGAGAATATACGACTCGATATAAAGTCGAAGAGAGGAAGAAAGTTTGAGAGAGAGAGAGAGAGAGAGACACCTGGAGGAACAATGGGAAGACATCGTGTCGCGAGTCGATGCGTCGGCGCAAGCGAGTGGAACGATGGCTCGTTACCATAGACAAGTTGCCCGGTTTCAAAGGCACAACTTTGCAAAGTTTGAAAACGTTCTTCTGGAACAGTTTCTCGCTACAAAAGAGCGTTTCACGGGGGAATCATAGGTTGATTTCGTGCAACAGGGTCGAGAACGCCTTAGCTCGAGCCAAAACACGTTTAACTCTCGTACGTCGAGGACGTCGAGGGGGGAGGGGAGGGGAAAGAGGCAAAAGACGTCTAGTCGTTACGCGACAAAAACTTCTCGGTCGGCGCGCGTTTCACAGCGCATAAACCCCGGTATATTTGGACCGAGCGGGGAAACGCG